AGAACATCTGTGTCTGTTTCTTAAAGGTCTTTCTTGCCCGCTTGGCTGCTGACCACACAGTGGTTGAAAAACACCTGGCATAGAGTAGGCCCTCAAGGGTGTGTTTGGAATAGCAATCTGGCAATGTTTGCATTTCATGAAGAGGAGTCTAGGTAATGTTGAAGACAAAGAACTGAATGTTTGACAACAGACTGACTGCATGAGTTGATGCAAGGTGTGTTTACCTCTCTGAGCCTCAGTTTCCCCACTTGTAAAATGGGATAGTTAGTATCTGCGTCACGTGTTTGTGGCAGAGCTGTGGTAGTGGATGAGAAAGCATTAAGCGCAGTGCGTGATGTAGGTCCTCACTAGGTCTGAATGACATGTGACAGTAGATACAGCCACAGCCGTGGTGATTCTCCAGATGTCCCTCAGTTTCCTTATCTGTGATGGAGATGCTACTACTTACGTGTTAAACGTGTTAATACATGTAAAATAATTACAGTTATGCCTATCACCTGCTAAATGCCTAGTAAACGTTAGTGGCTGTTGTATTTTTGATTATGATTAATATATTTTCTTAGAGATTGTGGACACTTTTCCCAGAAGAATACACATTCAAACAAAATTCTGTAGATCGTTGCAAAGCATTCACCACCTCCCTGCAGCTCACCCTCCCACAAGCCTCTGCGCCCCATCCCTGATTAGTCCCGGGACTTAGCTAGAATTATCCAGAAAGATTGTCCTGTGTGTGAATTTATATGACTGGGGTTTCCTAATGCTCATCAGTTGCTCAAAATGATTATGTTCCTCCTAAAAAAAGTTTTTAGTCATGATTGCTATTGGTTTGTTTGTTTGGGGTTGAGAGGAATTTATTAAATACCAAAGACTGTTGTTGCTTTTCTTCTTTTGAATTTCATTCTTTACTTTTTAACTGTGGACTAAACTCTGCAGCTGGAGTGCATACTCGGCAGAGCCAAACACACAGCCATGTGCAGACCTGCCCTGGGGCTGCCAGATCCCTGCACAGCTGCGCCCGGGCACCGCAGTGGCCCCAGTAGGTGACCTTCACTGGGAGTGTCTGGGTGCTTGCATAGACCAGCGCAGACCTCTCTAACATCTCTTCCTCAAGACAATTCAGGTTGTTGCTGCTGCTGTCACAGAAGGGCTGTTAGTGGCTGTGATAATGAATGCACTGTGAGGCACCTTGGAACATCTGGCAGGCTTTGTAAATGCTCAATAATAATGATGATGTCACAGTGCTTTCCTTTTCAAACTGTCTTAACTTCATCCTCAGTTTGAGATTACAGATCACAGCAGTTCATTCTAGAAATGGGCCCAGAGTGAAACCAAAATCAGATTTCCCCTCCCCTCCCTCTTCCCCTTCCCCTCCCCCTCCCCTCCCTCCCCCTCCCTCCCCTCCCCCTCCCTGTCCTCTCCCCCTCTCCCCCTCTGACTCCCCTCACTGCTTTCCTTTCTTGTTCTCTCTCTCTGTCTCCAGTGTACTTCACCTGCTCTCTCTTCTCTGTCCCTCACTCCCTCTGCTGTCACTCCCCCGAACCCCAGGGTAGGCTACGTTCAAGACTAGCCTTCACCCAGCTCTGGAAAACGAAGGAATAAGCAGAAAGAACCAAGTCCCCGTCCCTGGCCCCTGCCACTCGCCTGGCCTGCAGCCTCTCTGGTAGCCTGGACAGCCCTGCGTTCACGCTGCTGCTCCCTTCCACCCGAGTCCCTGCTCCTTCCTTCCTCCGTCTCCTGGAACATCACCTCTTCAGGAAGCCTCTGGTCGCAGCGCCTGCATCACTGCCCTGCCCTGATCTCAGCTCTGTGACTTTTTAGACCCAGGACTGTAACCGCCAGTCTCCAGGTCTGGCACTCAGACCGGTCTTTGCATTCTGTGAGGACAGCGATGATTCCTCAGCTCCTCACCCGAAGCATTTAACTCTGCCAGGTACAGGGTGGTGGCCAGTCAGTGTCTGTTGACACTGTTAATTTAATTCATTCGGTCTTGGTTATGCTGCCTCGGATTGTGCGGCTGTGCGGGAGACACTGCCTGGTCCTGCCATGTGGGAGCCCAGCGGTGACTCACAGGAGCGGAGCGGTTGGGGATGGGGCGCAGGGCGAGAGGTGAGGAAACGACATGGAGAACAGCAGTCCCCACCTCTCAGCAAGTCTGGGAAGGCGGGCTTTTCCTTGGGCTCAGCACCAGCTGGAGTGGCTGTCACTGTCCGGTGCCCACCAAGCATTGTGACATGCTGACTTGTAAGAGACTCCTGGGGACAGGTACCCCGAGGCGACACCAGCACCGCAGCTCACACCCGACACCCTTCAGGACACCCCATTGGAGGTCGGTCACAGAGCCACGGGCACCTGTCACCTTGCCCTCCGCCTGCCTGTGCAGGTGAACGCATGTGAGCTTGTGTGTGTGATACGACTACTCCGTAGAGCAGTCATACTGCTTTACATGGAACAACAGAGTAAATCACTCTTTTTTTAATCCTCACCCAAGAACATTTTTCCATTTTAGTTCAGATAGAGTAGAAGGGAGAGAGAGGAAGAAAGAGAGAGAGAGAGAGAAACATCGACATGAAAGGGACACATCGAGCGGCTGCCTCCCGCGTGACCCCAACCAGGCTGGGGACAAATCGCAACCGAGGTATGTGCCCTTGACCAGAATCGAACCCATGACTGATTGGTCCGTGGGCTGACGCTGTAACCGCTGAGCCAAACCGGCCAGGGCCAGAGTAAATCACTCAAGTTGACAGGACAGGACGACTTCACTGAGAAGCTGATGCTATCTGCACTCAGCCTCAGACCCGTGCCGGCTGGAGCAGGGCACAGGGATGCGCGCGGCCCCTGCCTCGCTCGCCAAGCCGTGCGGACAGCGGGGAAAGCTGTCATTAGAAAGCTAGCTTCTGCCTACCAGTCGGCCTGCTGTGAATGGTGAGGGGCAGTTCTTTTTTGGGAGTAGCCCCAATCTGTAATTGGCTTGAAAAATACTGCTCATTTATTTCATTCTTTTTATTCAATGTCAATAAGGTTTTTTTTCCTATTATATTCAAATTCAGCATAACTGAAGTCTATTGAAAGATTCTCTTAATTCTTACTTGCTATCTAGGTAACCTGTCCACTTTCATCATTACTTGTTGAAATAAATGCATGTATAGTGTAGCCACTATGGAAAAGTGTATGTAGACTCTTCAGAAAATTAAAAATAGAGCTGCCATGTGACTCAGCAGTTCCACTTCAGGGCATTTATCCAAAGAAAACGAAGCCTGATTCAGAAAGACACATGCTCCCTATGTTGATTGCAGCATTATTTATAGTAGCCAGCTATGGACACCGCCCAGGTGTTTATCGATACCTGAGTGGATAAAGATGTGGTACATATACACAATGGAATATTATTCAGAAATACAAAGAATGAAATCTTGCCATCTGCAACAACATGGGTGGGTCTAGAGGATATTATGCTAAGTCAGAGAAAGACAAATATCATAATTTCACTTACATGTGAAATCTTAAAAACAACAACAAACAAACAATAGAAACAGACCCATAGATACAGAGAACAAGCTGATGGTTGCCAAAGGGGTGGAGGGTGGGAGGATGAGGATTTAAAATAAAGAAGTAAATGCATATATGGAATAAATACTCAGTATACTTTATAGGCATGTACTAAGCATTTCATGTATATTATCTCATTTAGTCCTTTCAACAACCTATGGACTAGGACTATCATTGCCATTGTCTAGATGAAGAAGCCGTGTTCAGGACGAGGTCTGTACCTTGCCCACAGTGTGTGCCTGGGTCCCAGCTCTGGCAGCTGGCATGAGTGAGCAGGCACTTGGAGCTTCACTACTGCTACTTCTTACCCTTGGGACCTAGAGGCACAGCATGTGAATTCTCCGAGCGCCTTTGTCAGCTACAGAGGGCTAACCCTCCGTGTACTTTCTGAATCGCTTTCTGGCAAGGATCAGAATTAAAAATGAGGGTTCATATAATTGCAGTTTCTAAAACAGCTAAGTGCTGAACAAATGTAAGGCATCTTTTCTCATATGCTGTGTGTAGTTAATTCAGCATATTGAAATCACGGGATTTACTCTGGCGTGCGGTGCACTTATATGCTTTGCAATTAGTGTAGCATAATTTAATTGTGATTCTATTGTTGGAATTTTGATGCCTCCAGCTTGATGAATAGCCATTTTTCTGTGTGTGTTATCAATTAATCTGGGTAATGAATTCTCTTCGTTATCTTGTTCTTCATGTTAATTATACAGGATTTTCTTATATTTATCAAGTCAGGACAAGTACAATTTTCTTTTTACCCACATGTGTTTGAATCTGGAATTATGCACAAACAGACTGGCATTACTGGTTTAAATTTACATGGCTGAAAAGTTCCAGGCAGTGGCTTGACTTTTTTTATGTCTTTACTTATGGTATGAACTCATATCGCTTTCTTTGGGGGGTCTATATCTTTTTTATTAAGAAAAAAGTTGTTATCTAAGATAACTAAGCTATCTCTGACTTTTGAGAGTATATCTCTAGCATATCAAAATGGTATTAAGGACACATGAAAAAATTTCTGTCTTTGCCTGTTAATACGAAACAACAAATAATAAATTCCTGGTTTTGAAATATTCCATGAGCCACATGAAAGATAAATTTAAGTGTAAACCATGGGAAGAAAAGACATTAGTGCATATGATCTTAAATACACTACTCATAACAGTTCCCAACAAGCATATAAAAAAAGCCGAAGATTGTATATAATAAGTGAGCAGTGATTGCATTCATTTTGTGTTTAGAGAAATGACTGATGGGATAATATGGTTACTATGATAATGTTATATTTTGATATTTATTAACTTAGTACTAAATTTTAACTTAGTATTTTCTAGGCATTTATGTTCTATGTTTAAAGAGTCTTTTTTTAATTGTCTCTATTGTTTAGTCAATTATTTTTGAGAATGTTGGCTGCCAGCCTTTTGATGGGCACTTTTTATTTCTGATTTCAGGTTGAAGCCATCCTCGTCAATATATTTGGTGGGATCGTCAACTGTGCCATAATTGCCAATGGGATCACCAAAGCCTGCCGGGAGCTGGAACTTAAGGTGCCCCTGGTGGTCCGGCTTGAAGGTGAGTCATGGTCACGTCCACAGTTCCATCATCACCCTCCTCCAAGGCCGGCCGAGCCGAGTGTTCTGCACTCACAGGCGTGCCGAGGAAGCGTAAGGAGACGCTGGATTCAGTAAGACGAAATAAATGCAGTGACTCTGTGAGCATCTAACAGGCTAATACAGATGGTAGCTCTCCAAGAATGGCATATGTTATGATTCTCCAAATTTTCCCAATGTGTTCGGAATGGAGCCCTTTTATTATGAGTCATTTCATGAGATTAGTGATTTGGAAGAAATACTTTGAGAAATGCTGCTTCAAGAATTACTGATCAAAGAAAGGCGATGGCTGTGGTCTCAGCAATCGTTAAAATTGTCAACCCAAAGAGCTCTGGTTTATTCGGGTTATAGAGTTCAGTATTTATTGATTAATTTAATAATTTGGTAAGAGGAACTTTTAAAATATTTTAATAATTAAATTTGTATTTTTTTATATTTTATAGTATTTCTTTTATATATAAATATATGTACCACGTATTTTATTAAAAACAAATATCTTAAAATTTTCATAAGAATAGCAGCATTGTTTTACATTTTTGAAATCTCTTTTATATGTAGTTTAATATCTGCTTATTCATTTTATCTGTTGCAATATGTTGTTTTGATTGAAGTAGATGAAGAAAATCTGGCCTCATATACAGTATTTATTTGAAAAAGGAAGGAGTTTTTAATAATCATTTCATATAATTTTGAATATTCTTTGGTACTGCATTCAAGTCTATAAGCAATCGTTTCTTTATTAAAGATTTGTTTTATGTGGAATCTGAAACTATTTTAATGAACTTCTCATAACTCTGCTATATTAAAATCCGTCGGTCTGTCTTGCACATTGAATGGATACATGACTTGTAATATCATGCATTGATCATATGGAACATTTTGGATTATGCAGATCTAAAGGTTGACACATTTCAACATACAATATCAAGGTAATCCCCATTTGTTAATACTATACCATTCTCGTCAGAGAAGCTTGCCAGTACTGGGAACCGTCAAGGAGGTAGATGCAGGGTTTGCAGAACTCTGATTTCCACATACGTGTCCACATTTTAGCATCAGCCACAGAACAGTCGGTTGTTTTCCTGGAAGAAACAGATTCACTGCACTTGTGCCAGATCACAAGTCTGCACCAGCTCGGTGTGTCCGTCGGTCTCCCGGGGGGGGCCTCAGTGGGAAAGGGGTGGCTGACTCCTTCAGGGTCAGCACCCTTCTCTTTGCACCCCTTGCCCCTCAGTGTGCAGCTCTGTGTGGGCTTCTCCTGACCTTCACCCTTCCGGAGGTTGTCTGCAAGGAAGAAAGTCTTCTCTAGAAAACTGTAGAAAATTACCTTTCTGGAAAATGGCTAAATTAAAAATAAGAAATGTCACCTAGACAAAAAAATAAAAGGCAACTTTAAAAGCTATTTTAAATAGCTTTTGCAAAAAAGAAAAAGAACTACTTACGGATTGAGATTTAGTACAATTATTATGTTTACTGTTCATCAAGGACATTCTTGCTTGGTGGTGACCAGCGCGGTTGGGCCAGCTGCTTTGGGTCTGGGTGGCGGCAGGACCATCACTCTGCTTCGTCAGTGCACATGCCAGTGGAGACCATTGTTTTCATTATGATTGTTTTATCATTCTTACTACAAGAAAAATAATGTTTTCCGTCAGGGACCTCCCTCAGGGTTCTGTGGACCCCACTTTGAGGACCAGTAGAGAGGCAAAAATAGGCCGTGTCGCCATCATCAAAAACTTCAGGTTACGGGGATGAAGCAGCCCCCTTGAGTAGATTTCTACAGTGTCATCCTCGAGACAGCTGCATGTCCCCACGTTCGCGCTGGCGCATCATCTCCCGGAGACCTCGGACACTTTGACCGATGTGTCTCTATCCTTTGAGGTCAGGACGCCAGCGTAGCTACAGCCTGTCTCTCTGTCTCCTTCTTCCTTTGGGCCTCTTTCTTCTCTGCTCTCTGCCGCTCTCCTTTCTCTGCGACTCTACCTCACAAACTTGGATCAGCAGTCATGTGGACTTGGTGGAAATAATGATCACAAGGGAAAAATGAAAATAGCGAAAGCTCTAGTGGCAAAGTTTAATATTGACATTAAAACATCTGAATGAATTAAATCTTCTTCACAAGGTAAATGCAACATAACTGATTCCATTGAAAATAATTTAAATAAAAGGGAATAATTGTCAAGGCTGCAGTGAAAATAGTATTGATCAGGGAGCTAATGGGTTTATCAGTATAAGTGTAACTCTGATTAAAATGTTGATGTCGGACTATTTTCAGGGTAAAAGTGACTGGTGACCCTCCGGTTCTACAAATCAGCTCTTGTGTTCTTGAAGGAGAGCAGGTCTCCAGACTGGTGCCTGCCACAGTGCCCCCCTTCTGTCCGGGTCCCCCCTGCACCGTGCGGTCAGCAGAGGTCCATGATCATCAGCTTTTAGTACAGCCTAGAAAAGAAAGTTACCTCACTTTTATTTTTCCCCAGAGATTAAAAGGAACAGTTGTCTTTTTCACACAATGCTTAATATTCTGGAAGGAGGAAATGATCCTTGTCATTTAACTTATGCCTATTGTGTGTGTCTGGATAATAAACATGCTGAAACACGCAGTGACCACATGCATGAGATCTCCCGTACTGATCTCTGTTGGTGTCACGATCTGCCCAGCACGAGGAAGCTTTGTGTTTCTAACTTTGTTACACAATCAGATTTGCATCTTTTGAGTTACTGTACTTTCAAGCTATATGTCTGTGGGTTTTTAATCACTTAATTGATATACTAAATACTATATGCAGGTTATTGAGCTTTAGGCATTAAGGAGGATGTATAGAAATATAAGTGAGAAATGATCTGAGGCCCAGCCAGTAGGGCTCAGTGGTTGACCCATGGACCAGAAGGTCTTAGGTTCAGTTCCCGGTCAGGGCACATGCCCAGGTTGTGGGCCAAATCCCCAGCGGGGGGCGTGCAGGAGGCAGCCAGTCAGTGTTCTCTCTCATCGATCTTTCTATCTCTCTCTCTCTCCCCTTTCCTCTCCCTCTGAATTTAATAAAGAAAAAATATTTTAAAAAAAGAAAGAAATGATCTCAGTTACTAGATTACGGGAAATAAGAAAGAAAATATAATACAAGATAATATTTATGTTAACAAGTGTTTGTCCTACTAAAATCTGCTTCTGTCTCAGGAGCAGTGGCCAGCGGGGCTTCCCAGAGGGCCACCACCAAGGCCTGTGGGACCTTCGGAAACACTGACACTCTCCATGTCACTGGGACACGGGGCATTGCAGGTGCTGAGCAAGATGAGCTCAGAGAGGGGACTGTCCCCAGAGTTCTGGAGGCTAAACACATCCCGGCGAACTTTGACCTCGCTCTTCTCTCAGCGTCACGCCCCTGTCCTGTAATGAGCACCTCGGACCTTCATCAGGGAAGGGCTTTTCACATCTTCGGAGTCCTTGCTGGTGTTCTTTTCCTCCTCTGGTAGGAGTGAGCATCCTGTGTGATAACGTTCTCGGCATGGTCTGGGAAACCGGCAGCCCCACACCAAGGTTAAGACTAACCCAGCACTGTTGGTTCTACATAATGCAGGAGGGAAAGATGAAGAATTCTGCTCCAAGTCTGCTCTTGGCACTCATATTTAACAAAAGTGACGTGCAGAAAGTGGAGAGGGCATTATCCGTAAAGGCCTGTGAAGGACACTAATGAAAGCCAGGAGTGCTCAGTGCTGGGAGGGCCCCCGCGGAGTGCCTGCTGTGACTCGCCGCTGCCACGCCCTGCCCCTCTCCGCTTCCTCCGCATCGGCTCCTGGGATTACAGTACATCCAGAGATGTGCGTTCGCAAAGAAATACTATAAAGGAGAACTTCCAAGTTGAAAGTGGGAATAAGTGCAATTTGAATCATGGGGAGAAAGGAGGGAATTTAGTGGAAGACATCGGGTCTGTTCCGTACGTGGGAGTCGATACTGGCACCCTAACAGTGACAAACTGACACCGAGGACCTGCAGATGCAGCTGTCCTGGAGAGAGGACTGACTTGGCAGCTACGTGTTATGGCTGAAAGAACAGAGTGGGAACCTCAAGTTAGTAGCCAGAGTGCATGACGTAGGGATGTAAAGCCCAGGCAGGATGCTGTGTGGAAGTAAAAGTGCAGTAGAAAAGCAAAGGCAGAGAGAAGGGAGAGCTAGGGTTCCACGCAATGACCAGGAGAACCATGCATAGCTGGGGGAGTTGGGAGAGTCGCAAGTGGGAACTAGAGAGAATGGGTGTCTTACATTAGCCGTCTTCTCTGAGATGAAACTCTGACATCAGGTGGAATGCATATGGGGGAGGGGTGGGATACAGGAGCCGGGAGCCGGGGACGGCCAAGGGGAGGTGTGATAGGCAAGTGCATCCCACCCCATCTGCAGGCCCCAGGAGGGCACATCAGGACTTGCTGCATTGGGCTGTGTTTCCCAGCAGTGCAGCCCAGGTGAAGTGAAAACCACCCCAAACCAAAACTCACAGGAGGTCTGGTTCTCAGCACTTCGAATGGGAACAAGTTGCTGACTACGGGGACCTTGGAGGAATGTCTCTTACTCAATCTGAAATTTTCATTTGCTTGCTTCTGGGTTGAAGCAGAAATCTTGCTCCTCCCACAAATATCTCTGCATTTAGTTCCATTTTACCCAACCTTACAGAATGATTCGGTCCCTCCTGTTTTTCCTAAACAGGGCCACCCTCCATTGCCTTTGGTGACAGAAAGAAAAGGGGCAGGAGCATTCTGGACCTTCCCAGTGGTCGTTTCTAGTTGACTTGACATAGCACTATGCTTTCCATCTTAGCTGATGAGTTTCTCAGTGATCTTTATTCATATTAATATTAAAATTGGTTAGCGTTTCCAGAATACACACCATTGTCTAGCTAGTGGGAGAGATGATAAAGGGGTGCCACCACCCCAACATCTATTTTAAAGCTGAATGACACATAAAATAAGTGTGGTAGAA